TTGTCTATGGTGCTGCGATAAGAATAGAATTATTATGTGCCGTTATTGTTGCCGACACCACCTTCTTTCTGGGAAATTCAAGGCATTTACGTTTGCAATTAGAACGTCAACAGAAATTAGGTAATTAGTTTTTTGTTGGTTAAGTGTTTAATAACTCATTTAGCGCGGATCCGCAAAGATAAAGTAGGGGAATTGAGGTTTGAGTTACTCAATTTAAATGTCAAGATTTAAATATTTTTTTTTTAAATCTGATATTTAGAGAATTCGTGAGAGTTAAAAAGTAAACTGTGAAAATATGCAATTTTTTCACATAATAAATAATCAGACTTGATTTATTTAGCTGCCAGAAAAATTACTCAATAAAAATTAGTTCGTTTTTAAAATACGGGCATGTAGAAATTAATGTGGAAATAATTGAACTTCATTATCCATGCTTGAGTAAATATACCAACACACATACTATTTACTTAAACACACGCTTTCATGCTTGCTGTTAATCTAAAGCTTAAAGTATCTACTCCCTTTTGTTTCAAGGCAAATCGTTTGAGGGTGAGGCAAGATCGCGTGTGTATTGCACAAATGGCTTGCGACCGTGCGATTCTAGCATAATGCAAAAACAAAAAAAAAATAGTACACAATTCGCACTAAAACAGGATTTACTGCCGCCACACCTTCAACTCAAAATACCCGTTTAATGCGCTCAAGTAGTAGCATTTATTGATTACCGCAAAATGACGCAGACTACAAAAAAAAACACACACACAAACAATGGCGATACTAAAAATTAATCACATCACATAGCGCAAAGCTAATTCTGTACGAAACTGATCGACGCATGCAGAACGAAGCAGACAGATTTTGATGTTAAGCGTATTAGCTTAAAAGAGTCAGTTTAAACATTTAAATGTTTGTATATTTTTTCTACATTAAAAATTTGTGCGCACTGATAAAAAAAAATCAATTCTGCTGTTGAACAAATTTTTCTCTCAGCATATTGATTATGTACTATGTATTTGCTCACTCATTCCACTTTGCCTCGAGATCATGGTCACCACATTTGACCACAAATATTGAATGCGAATGGGGCGGCCGCGCGTGCTCACCGAATACGAGTACCTACATACTCGATTAAAGTTAGTCTACCGTTGACTGTTACACATTTTTAAAATATCGCTGACCACGGCTACATGTACATATGTCGTACATACCACCGTGAATTCTCAAGTGGACGCAATTATTAATATAAATTCAATTTGCAATAATAACTCAATTAGTTACTTTAGTGCTGACGATCAGATCACTTGATGGTCGCAGATACACACTCATACTCAGTCAGTTAGTCAGGCGGTCAGTCATCTGTCTATTTGCCAGTATGAAAGAAAAACCCGCACTTATGTAAGTCTTATGCATACGGTGACCATATTTATGAGAGCTGAATAATTTTGCAAATTTTTTCCACAATAGCTTACAGATCTTATAGCCTTTTTCAATGATCCTTTTACCCCGTAAAGTTTGTAAAAAAAAAAATTTTAATTTGAGTATAATAAAGTGCAGTTTTAAGTCGCTAAGGCTTACTATTAATTTTTGGCAATTTTTTTTTGTTGGCGGTGTTACGTATGTTTTTCATACAAAATAAGTATGTCCGACCATGAGCAAATGAGCAGAACTTTTCACTCGCACTTTATTATACTCAATTTTACTGAGTTACAAAACTGCAAACCAAATTTTTTTCTAAAGCTTCTAATTAAAAAGTTTGAAATTCTGGTGAAACATTTTTATAGTTTTTGCACAAAGTTGGAAATTTGGTATTATATGGTTTTTGTTAGGAAAAGATCTTAACTTTCATAAAATAAATAATAATTATTAAATAAACTAAGGCAGAATAGCCAAAACTTACTAAAATGTCGAGTCCTAATTTCTATTTTGGTCACTGTATTTATTCCTCGATTCGAACCACAGGCATTCATATTAGAAAATAATAACTGTTTATGGAGAAAATTACTTAAAACTCGGTTTAAATGAGCTGTTAAGCCGTCGAAACACCGAATACGGGACAAATAAAATAAATAAATTAGCAGGACATTGGGTCAAAAAAGAGGACTGTCCCGTATAATACATGACGGATGGTCACCGTACTTATGCATGATGTGCGTAAGCGTTTCATTTTTTTTTTTCAAGTTATTTCAAAGCTTTGCTGTCACATTTTCACACTTCCATTGCGCAATTACGTATTTAACTAGTAGCTAATTGCTGGCGCTTCTTTCTGTCACTCAAAAGGATGCTGACAATTAAGTAATTGAAGTGGTGCAAAGATAAATGATAATTATAATCGTAATAATGGCAAGATATGCGTTGAAAGATTAGCCAGCAGCTATGGATGAAGAAGGTCAGATGACAGATGTTGTGTTCACTAGACGGAATAAGTATATTTACATATGTATGTATGTAGATACATATGTATATACGGTCACGAAAAATTATAGGCACATATAATTTTTCAAAATGTTTGCAAAATTTTGAATTTAAATTTTTTCCGCTAATCGTACTAAAAAATACGATAAAACATCAATGTGAAAGTTTGTGAGTAAGCAAAAACGGCTTGACGTGTTTCAATGCAATTTGATGCATAGATAGGCTATCACCTGGGTTAACATAAAGCATATGAATAGAGTTGCCACCTTCCAAAAAATGCTAAAATCAATTAATGGATAAATGAAAAATTACAACAATGTGGATGTTAAACGAAAGGGATTGATTAATTTAATAAACAAGTCGAATGAAATATATTTATGTAGCTGGGTATCAAGCGAGAAAGCTTTATTTCGAGAATGATTTTTAAGTGGCTTGCCAACTGTTTATTCGAAATAAATGTAATCAACAAATTAAATGAATGATTTTATATGCAAATCAAATCAACAAGAGGTTTGAAGGCATTTTTGAAGAGGCTTGTCACCTGTTTGGAAATTCTAAATCAATTTAAAAAAATAATTTAGTATGGGCTTCAGAAAGGCCTATTTCGGAACTATTTTTGACGTAGGTTGCCACTTGGTTACAAATTCGAAATCAATTTAACAAGTTAAATGAAATACTTTAAAACGGGGGTGTCAAATGAGTATGGTTTAAGAAAGGTTAATTTTAAAAATAATTTTAAAGATGGTTGCCAACTATTTAGAAATTCAAAACCGATTTTATTAAATTAGATGAAATATTTTAATATGAGCTTTCAGTATGGTTTATTTCTGAAATAATCTTGAAGTTTAAAAGTTTCATTTTTTAATAAATGAGAGGTTGCATGAAACGTATGTCAAAGCAAAGAAGATAAAGAAAGTTTTCTCCGAAGTATTTGTGAAGAGGGTTACTAACTGTTTTAAAAGGAATTTTTTTCTTAGTAAATTAGTTAACTGTACGCTACATGTTTGCAGCAAATTAGTTTCAAAGCATTTTATAAGAGAGTTGCCACTTTTCCATTATTTATTACAACAATATTTTCCCTTTATGTTAAATAAAAAATCAATTTAGCATATTATATTGTTACCTAAGTATGTACGTACTTATAAACACTATATAAGAAAGATAAGTGGTTTTTTATACTGAAGCGGCTGAATTAGTTTAAATTTGGCACAAACATTCACCATGTCCTGAGACATAATTTGTATCCCAGAACTCCCAGGAAAGGCATATATCTAAACTGGCTCGACATAAAAATAATTGTCGAACAAACTTTGTATGGAAGGAAATGCTACGCACTGCTGCCAAACAAGTAGTTGGATTTCAGCGAGCCCGAAATAACAACTGATTGGATGAGGAATTCCATGCCGAGCTACGTTGAATTATACAGCCAGATCCGTTAGAATTGGGTAGCCGTTCCCAGAGCCCTTCGACACCAAAAGAAGTTTCAGACCGTGCTACTCTCTACCCATTATTTGTAGTATATACCTAGAGCAGGCATCCATGCTCTCTCTGAGAAAAACCTCCTACTAACTAAGCGTATTCTCTTCAGGTTTTACAAGGCATGTGCTTACCCAGTCACAGTTATCTAACAGCATTTCGACCAATTACTTAAACTATCTTCGTCAATTCCTTGACTGGTTGCACATTCACCAAATATTAAGAAAGAATGTAATTCTATGGAATTTTCTTCATAAAAAAGGGGTAAATATTTTGAAACCAGTTTTGTCACTGCAATGCCTATTTAGCCAAACCTGCTATGCCTTAAAGATTTTCGCAGCCAGTAACTAAGCAACCAGGTGCATATTGTTTTGATTATCTACAATGTAAGTAAAAACAACTGGATGCACTTAATCGATTGCGCCAAGCTGTGGTAGGCGAGTAGCGCTGCACAAGAATTACATAGAAGACAACTAAGGTAGTTTGTTGGCGGCACACTGATGAACCATTCCGGTTGCTTAGCGTTATCTCAATTAAAACGCGCATCGATGAGAAGTGGAAAAACGCAAAGGAGTGCAAATAGAACGAACGCACCGAGCGATACAACTAATCATTTGTAGAAAGGTGGTTGTAATACATACAAGGAGAGCCGTTGCCATGTTAGCCACCAACACCACCACCACCACCACCTTCAAAAAACCTGACGACAGCGTTGGCAATTTGCCTGCTACGCGTCGGCTTTAGCTTTTCTAGTTAAACACCCAACAACAAACACTTATGTATATTTATATTTTTTGTGCCGCTTTGCTTGGCACTGGCACTTTTAAGGCGGAGATTAGCGGCAATTAGTCGCTTGAAATTGCGCAACTCGATGCGCAATGCCACTCAGGTGAGCAGCAGCACCAGCATGCTTGTCTACCTCGCTTGTTGCATGGCTCAATTTAATGCAATGGCATCAACTTAATTGTGGCAATTATAAAGAAAAAAAGGCTATGTTTTATACATAATAGTTTTGTAATGTGACAAGGGAGTTAAGCGAAGAGTGGCGCAGAAAGTGCGTTTTCATGCATATACGTTTGTATGTTAGTAAATTAAAAAAAAAAAACACTTACCAGGTGGGCATTTGCACTCATACGTTAGACCATTCGATGCACGACAAGTGCCGCCATTCTGACAAGGTGATGGCGAACATGGAATGTATTTGGATTCACAATTTTTGCCGGTATAGCCGCCAGGACACATGCATCTGTGGGAGAAGAGAGAGAACACAAGATAAAACGTCAGTATGCAGAGAATTTATATATCAAATGGTATTCAAAAATAATACAAAAAACGTAAGTAAAATAAAATAAAATAAAATTAAAAAATTAAGTTCTGTAAAATAAAATAAAATTAAAATAAATAAAATAAAATAAAATAAAATAGAATAAATTAAAATAAAATAAAATAAAATAAAATAAAATAAAATAAAATAAAATAAAATAAAATAAAAAAAATAAAATAAAATAAAATAAAATAAAATAAAATAAAATAAAATAAAATAAAATAAAATAAAATAAAATAAAATAAAGTAACATAAAATAAAATAAAATAAAATTAAATTAATATAAATTAAATTAAATTAAATTAAATAAAAAAGTAGAAAGAAAAAAATGAAATAAAATAAAATAAAATAAAATAAAATAAAATAAAATAAAAAATAAATTAAATTAAATTAAATTAAATTAAATTAAGTTAAATTAAAAAAGTATATAAAATAAAATAAAATAAAATAAAATAAAATACGTAAAATAAAGTAAGAGAAAATAAAATAACATAAAATAAAATAATAGCAGATACAAATACATAAAATAAAAATATAAATAAAAATTAAAAATAAAAAAGTTAATTTAAATTAAATAAAAAAATTTAAATCAAATAAAATAATATAAAACAAAACCACACCAAATCTAATAAAATGTATTAATTAAAAATATTTTAGAGTTTCGATATGAAAATTAAGTACGTATTACCCTTATAACTACTTCTACAATATTAAAAACTTATTCAAAAGCATCGATGACCTTCACTTAAAATTTAGAATGCATTTAGAAGTTTGGGCGCGAATAACGGGAATTTGTTTTAAAAATACTCATTCATACGTCGAAAACTGGGTAAATACACACGTCACGTATACGTCCGGTATTACCACTATTCTATCAATACTTAAGGCCTAGCCATACACATGCCTAAAAAGACGATAAGTAATGACATAAATTAATTTTTAATTTATATTCAACAATTTTTATTGAGCTCGAGGCCGTTTTTTAATGAAAATTTATTGTGGAAAAGCAACAATAATTTGAAAAAATGGTAGAAGTGATAGCTATTTCGGAAATCACCACATTTCCTCATCAGACTTCTTTCAGTAGGATTCGAACCGACGATCCCACTGACTCAGCCAGTTGCCTGCGCACTGTGCTAAGTTCGCCTTGTTAATTCTTATTGCAATTCACTTGATCATGTGGTTGTTGGTTTTGTTGGTTTTTGTTAATATTTCTATTATTAGAATATTTAACTTTTTAGGTGTGCTCGTCCTTAAGTTATTTGTTTTTTTTTTTGTTATTTTATGGCCTTATAACAATTATATTCAACAATTTTTATTAAGCTCGAGGCTGCAATAAATTTTCATTGAAAAACGGCCTCGAGCTCAATAAAAATTGTTGAATATAATTGTTATAAGGCCCTAAAAAACAGAAAAACAAATTTTTAATTTATAATAAAAATATTCGAAGAAATCCGATGTGTTTGAACAAAAAAATTAAAGCTTTTATTTGAAATCCACCCTTTTCTGGCGCCACTCGGAAATACCAAGTGAAGCCAAGTCTGTCCAACGCAGAGGAGGCTCCTTCTTCCTCTGATACCTAAATCGGGCTCCGAGTTGAATAAATTCAGCACTAGAGCGTCTGTTTCCATTCGAACGAAATGGTCAGGCAAGCGCAGCCGCTATATTTTAATTCCCTGCACTATGTCCATGTCGCTGTATAGCTCATACAACTCATCGCTTCAGCTTTTGCCAATCCTAGCAACCACGCGGCAAGACCTCTTGGCCGTTAATCCATAGCTTGACTACCATTTGAGTCAGCTCAGCGTGTTACAAACACTACCGCTGTCGCTCGACGTTGTCGTAAGTGACCGAAATGAAATGAGACGATTTTGTTGCGCTGCGCAAATAGGAAATCCCTGAGGTTTGTTTTGCGTTAGATGGTGTGGTACCCGTACATCGAGTTTCTGTTTGAATCTAGTGTCGAAATGTTGCTATGTATGTTATGGTCGGGAACGACTAAATCAAAATTGTGCATGTTCAGAACCATAAATACTATTCACATTTTTAGCCGGCTGGCTGGCGTTTTCCCTTTTTTCGAAGAAAGACAGAAAAATATGGCGTATTTTTTCTTTGTTGGTGTCCAACTTTGAAGAGCGCTCAACAAAACCGAGTCAACCAATTATTTCCAAAGCTGTCAGAAAAGTATTTTTAGTACGAAAGCTTATACTTCTAATCTATACAATGCAACCCGATTGCATTTATAGAACGCGAGATACACTCTCCCGCACTTGAAGGGGGCAATGATTTTTCTTTTTTTCCGGGTTGTTTTTCTTTTATTTGATTTCCATTATTTTTAAGTTTCAAAAAAAGTTTTAAGATTCGTAGAAAATTAAAAAAAAAACTAATAAAATTATTGAACCTTTTTCTAGGAATTTTAAGAATTTGAATATGCAATTGTGTAGCCCATTGAATTTTAAAAATGTCAAAACCATACATGTGCCGGCAGGTGTGTGTGTGTGCGTTTAAAACAAAAGATTAAATTACTATACAAAAATCACTAAAGGCAGTAACAGGTTAAAGATAGCCAAAAAATAACACAAAACCCTACCAAATAAACAGGAACAAAAACTTTTTGGTTTGGTTGACATGCACCAATTCTCATACAAAAACACATAAGTACGTACATACACAAGTATCAGTGTTTATGTTTCGCACAACTCAGAAAAAAAAACAAACAAAAAATAACAAAACAGGCGACACATGCAAGTATGTTTTTATGTCGTTGCTCGTTCACTTTTATTTTCCGTTAATACTTTTTTACTTGACTTTAACTTTTTTATGTGCTCGTATGACTTATGTATGTATGTATGTATGTATTTAGGTGTTTTATATTTTGTCATCCAACGCTCGCCTGGGCTTTTAAGCTGTCCGAGCCTCTTGTCTTTTTGGCAATTCTTTCCACTTCATTTTCATTCGCTTGCTTGCGTTTTCAACTTCCTTTCGGCATTTATCTTCAGGGCAGTCTTTTAATTTCTGGGAGCGATTTTTAAGGTACATTGTAGTTACTCGTACATTGTTATTGTGTTTCCTTCAGCCTAGTGTTTTCAACATACACATTGAGGAACAAGCTGACAAAAAAGTTAAATCTGAGCTAAACGAAAATGGCAAACGCGCAATGCAACAACACATGTGTATCTTTAAATATGTATGTACAGGGTAGGTAAAATATTATTAGTTTAGTTCGAGAAAACATTTGCTAGAAAAACGTTTGAGTTGAGCCGTTTAACAAATAGAGTCCGCGCATGCGCGTAGCCAGAATGGAATTTAGAGGAGGGCTCGACACTTTAAAGCTAGCATTTCAGGGTATTATTTTTCATATATATATTTATATGGAAAACTTGAAAGTTAGGGGCTTGAAATTTTAGATTCAACAGAAAGCATATGAAAGCTGGAATTTTAAGGGACATATTATCCCAGTAGTACCGAAAGGGTTAAACCATTAAAACCAATTTAAATTTTTTTTCAATCCATTTTTTCGCTCCTCCCTGTATACTCGTACTCTTGTTCAACGCGGTCGGTTTGTTGTTGTTTATGGCTGACGTTGAAATTTTTAAACAAGTTAACATAAACTTATGTCCTACGTAAAGTATTAAGTTGCAATGATTTTTTTTTTTGTATTTCAGTTTTTTTTATGTTTAATGGCTCTTTCAGACTCACAACATTTAGTATGAAAGTTGTACAATGTACATATATGTATAAGTATTTGTTGGTATTTACGATTTTTGTAAAAAAAAAAAAATGCTAATTTTGGATGAGTTGCCCAAAGCTTGTTGGTATGTACATACATACCTAACTTGCACTATAAGCGAGAGGGACATAATCGCTTGCCTATCGTTGTTGTCTCACACCTCATCTGTAAAATTGGGACATCTGGACAGGTTAAAGATCACCTGGTCCCCCTTTCCCACTTTTGTTTAACCCGTACCATCCCGAAACCCCTCAGCCACCGAGTTTCCCTGACCTCGTACGCTGACTATAGTTCGATATTGGCGTCCGGAAATCAAATTGATGACGTGTGCTCGAAAGTAAATGGCTACAACTTTTGTTTAACCCGTACCATCCCGAAACCCCTCAGCCACCGAGTTTCCCTGACCTCGTACGCTGACTATAGTTCGATATTGGCGTCCGGAAATCAAATTGATAACGTGTGCTCGAAAGTAAATGGCTACCTCGTCCAACTCGCATTCGCTTCTTCACTGCACGGAGCCTAACACTCTCCCCTACGAAATCGACAGCGATCCTCTTTACCACCTGGTTGAAAGAGGTCAAGCTTTAATTGGGAGTCTACATCGACCGCTATATGTAGATAGCTTGCTCTCCTTCTCCGCGCATACAACCGAAATAGTGAAAAACGTAGGTACAGCACCGCTACAAGTTTGTCAAATCGATCACCAGAAACGCCGGAGACTAGTTGAATGCTAAGTGCAATGCTACAGACTTGCCAGAACGCCACACATTGGACAGCGACTGGATGCCTTCTGGTGTCGCTTGAACAGCACCTGCACAGTGAGGAATCCATGCTCACAGTCAGGCAGTACAACCTAATGCTCAGCAAGCAGTTTACGGTTAGCTGCTAACACAGGAAGCATTCAAACAGGCTCTAGCTTGAGGCAGAACTGAACCTGCTCCCAGGCAAGACAGGAAGCATTTTATTGAATACAAGGACGCGATCCGAATGCCACTACAACAACTTTTGGATTCGACGGCGTATCGACAAGCCAATAACGGCATTCACAGACAGTCTGCCACCGCTTTCAGCGACTGTCGTCTCATGAGTGGCGTTTTTGGAGCCAAATAACAACGTATCGCAGACGAACAGCTCCAGCCGCGTGAGACCCGCGCCACTATGGCCCAGTTAATCTGGATCTCACCGTCGTCTG